GCTTCCCTATCTATACATACCGAAGTTTTCGCAATGGTTAAGTGGACACCGACGACCCTTTTGGCAGACCAGACGCGGATATGAAAAATGGTGATTCTTTTCTTCTTACATCTTGATAAGCTCGGTGATACTCAGTCTTCGGAGTGACCTTCTTCGTTTTTAATCGCGAAGAAACAAACTCTGTAACGAACTGGCGAGTGAACTCTCTAAATCATGAACATCTCCCCTCCCTTCCTCATCTGAATAAGGGAGACTGTAATTCGGATGGAATACATTAAATATTTACCCAATATGCAAAGATGGGCCTTGAAATCTTGCCGACAATTATCAGTCCGTAAGCCTTAATTACGTTTGCTGTAAAATGATGCAAAATATACTTAAAAACCGACGTTGAATTTCTTGGAGGAGAACTACCTACACCCAGGGCTCCAGTAGGGCCTCAAACAGAACCGCTCATGTTATTCCAGCGTATTGCTCTCAATCGGGTTGTGAACTGATGTACTGGATGATGATGGTAGAAGTTATGTTATTTACATTGGTTTCAAGATGGCGCTCAGCAGCGTCACACACAAAAGTTGTCTGAAATTTGAATAGGAGGAAAGTAACGATATGGATCGCAGATTTCTTACAGGGAGATCGCAAACCCTGTGCATTGATGCATCTAGGTTAACCCATTCCCTTGTTCTAATTGGTGTCCACCAAAGGGTCAATCTTAGGCTAGTGCTCTTTGCAGTCCGCATCAACGACTATTTTGACAACCTGGGTCTCAATGCTGTCATATTTGCTGAAGATGTTAAATTGTAGAGAGTCATCAGATCTGATACCAACACCGCTCGTGGGCACTAAAATTTGCCTCAATAACGTTTGACATACTTTACTTAGTTCTATTCCATCTCAGATGAGCAAACATAATTTCTAGCTTAGGGCTTTTGATGGTTAAAGCTCTTTACCGGATCCGTGTTCATTAAGCAGGGACAGTTATGATTTTATGCTTCTTTCTTTGTTTGCCACACCTACTTTATCACTGTGCTTATTATGGAAGATGACAGAATGTCATCTACTCCATGGGTGAATTCGTCTTTCAACTTATTTAAATTCAAGATCTTTTCATGTATTATTATTTAGACCTAACAGAAATGGAGAATTCAGCACATACATTTCAGTGGACATTTTGAGGATTTTCACTTTCAGATGTGGAAAAAGCCCAAAATTCGGAACCTGGTTGCAATTAAGACATTTGTCTTGAAGTTTACAAAGGGAATCTAATATGTTAGACTACTTTTTAGTTTGGTTAACTTGGAAATAAGTTTTGTACTGACAAAACTACGAATAACCACATAAACTGTATTATGAGGTAGGGCGTTTAAAGTGCGCTGATCGATCGACCTCTATCGATTAGTTGTCAGTTGTAGGTGGTGTTACTTCCCAGGGGGTCGTGTTCGTGGCATAACGCTAAAATGGGCGAGCAACTCGGGTACCCGTATACAAAGCCACGAGGCCCTATTGGGGCTATGTATACAAGCCCAGGTCCGGTGTATATGCTGCCCGGCCTTACTGGTGAAAGTGGACACGATATTCGAAGCACACACGAAAAGGCTCCAGGATATTCATTTGGGAAGGTCCTGCAGACAATCGACCACGTAAACAGCCCTGGACCCGCCGCATATGCCCAAAATTCGAAGCTTGCGAACACTGGTGACACAACTGGGCCGAAATACACTATGGCACCAAGGACTGAACCTCTAGACAGTAACATTGGTCCAGGTCCAGCTAAATACTACCCATCTGTGAAGCAGGTATTCCCCCGACAACCCGAATACAACATGGGACTGAAGCTCAACGACGTAATGAAGAATAACAATCCGGGTAAGAAAAAAATACGGTTCTGTTTGGATAATTTTTCGTTTTCCAGTTAGCGATTTTAGCATAAATGGCAGTCGATTGTTTAAATAGGTCCATGCTAACATATCAGAATTTTTATTCTGTGCTTTTGCAGTAGGAAGCCGAATTTTCAATAACACCAGTCATGATTCTGCTCTGATAAGTAAAGTCATAGTCAGTTGGGCGAGGTTTCTTCCAAAAGTAGCTTTTACCATAGGGCAGCTAACACTGAGAGTCCGCAATTTGACATTGCTCGCTTTGTCTGGCCTCCTTACTTTATTTGTGACTGCCAATAAATT